AAAGTGGCAGCCTACCGACCTGGAGTAAAGAAATCCACCAGAAATTTTTCGGAGGGGTGACCTATCCATCACTCACCAGCCGGCCCATTGTGGACCTGGCCGATCCCATAAAGTGTTTGCTAAAAGAGGCCCTCTTATTGCGCACAAGGCGGAAAGAATTAAAAAAAAAGTATCTATTTCATATTAAATGATTCCAAAAAATTCAAGAAAAATTCCAAATTCAAAAGAGACTGACTGATTCAAAGCCCATAGGTTTAGAACGTACAAAAAGAAAGACAAAACTATCATTTCTCTTTATCTTGATTAAAGACGAATATCGAAATTCTCTTTTCATTACAGAGACGTAAAACACACATGTCACGAGACATCTACATGAAATTACACTGTTGCCAGTTTCTGGAATTTAAAGGTTACTTATAAGTGATACAAATAAAAACGTAAGTATATTATATATTAAATAATTTTATTTATAAAAATTTAAAATAACGAAATAAAAATTTATTAAATATCAAACTTTATTACTAAAAATTAAATAAATAAATAAATTTATATATATATATATATACACACACACATTTATATCGATATATACGCAAGTACAAGTATTTTAAACAGACGATGTCTGTATGCATTGAACACATCAAATTATAGTTTGGTTAGAAAAATTTCCGAGTATTACGAAGCGGAAGTCTGTCGGTTAAGCACAACATAATTGTTAGTGAAAATTGTACAGTGATAACTGAGTCATTCGTCGTCGGATAGAGAAGTTTAGAAATTGAGTTCAAGTGTAAATTGTTCATAAACAAAAGGAAAATTATTTGTTCTTCATCCATTACAGTAATGAATTACAAGGATGATTGCAGACTTAGAAGACAACGCCAACAACACATTAACAACGCAAGAATTGTCGATTCTAGCTGAATTTGATAGGTAAGTCCCGTCGTCATTAGGCTTAACTAACTGTTATGTCGATTCATACGTTCTTATATTCATTTTTCTCATTCGTTAAACATAACTTTGTATTATGTTGTAAGTAATTATCAATGTCAGCAGTGCAACTGATAAGTTACCTTTCAAACTTTCAATGACATTCTATAATTAGGAATACAGTCTGTGTTTCGTGTATATGATCGATTATCATTTCAAAAATTCTCTTACTTACATTTCATTGTTAATTGCCATTATGTTGTTAAACGTTTAATATAAAGAGAAATCATTTTAAAAATTTTAAAAACTTCTTGATTAGTAAATGAATGATTTTTCCACTTCATTTGATAAACTACATTGTTTACATATAAAGAAAAATTAAAGGTGTGTTTTTCTCCAAATGATATTTAATTATTAGAATCACATTAATGCTTATGGAAACTGTTTAATATAAAAAACTTGTAATTGTTATATATATATATTACATGATAAGATAAAATGACAATATAATAGCTTATATGAATTTTTCAGAAGAGGATAACGTAATTAGAATAAGTTCACTCAAGATTATTTATATAAACATTGTCTTGTAGCATATATCTTTTGTATTTGACTTTTATAATAATGACTTTTTTTTTCCATGTATAGTATGAAAATGGAATATTTTTATGTGCTGTGATGCTGTTTTATTAGATTTCTTTTTATGCAAATCTTTCAGCTTGCAAATTACTTGCTTAATTTAAATACCTTCATTAAAAGAATTTAATATTTTTTTTTTTAAATCTTCAGTTTTGTCATAATGAATGTAAATTATGCTTGTCTGATAAGTATGCACTCTTTTAAAAAAAAACTATCTTGTGTTATAGATGACAAAGATATTTGTACCATAAGATAATGTAAATAAATGCCATCTTTATAACAGGTATATATTTTAGAATTTAAATTAACAGCTAATACAGCTTTATAGAATTTAAAATTAATTATTAATTGAAATTTATGAGTTCTGTCATCAACACATTGAAGTTAATTTATAAGTAAAATAAATTGCATAATAGTTAGGTAAACACAAAAATGTTAAGTAATCTTTTGAATTCATGAATTATTGTATACTAATATGATTAATGTATTACATATGTATTTAAAAGCACATTGATATACAGTAGATTCTCCCATATATGAACCTATAGGTAGGAGCAATTCAGATATTAGAAAAATCTGGATATGGGAGAGTAATAATTTTTAAATAAGACTAACATCTATGCCTGCTGTGTGTATAAAAAGTGTTTACTTTGACTTTGACACTTATTTTTGACAATTACAATTAATTTTGAAAGTATTCTGTTAAAGTTGTTTGTTTTGTTCACTGATGAGTTGCTATATTGTGCCAATGCCTTGTCGTTATCGGCAGTGGTTGAGGAATTGTGCGCATCTATGAACTTTGATGCAATTTTAATTAAAAAAATTAAATGTATACACTTCAGTATGGAAAGGTAAGAATCAGAGTAGAGTATAATGTTTTCAAAAATTTTTGATTGCCTTTTATCAGTCTGGATAGGGAAGGGCTGGATGTGGAAGAGTACTGTAATCTAATACATGAAATACTTAATGCTAGCTTCTATGAGAAAATATTATATTTTGCCTTTAACAAGCTGCTGAAGTTTTATTTAAGTCATTCTTTCCAGAAGTCACCTATTACTTTAATATAAAATTTGAAATTTAAGTTCTGTTAATGTGACGATCTGTTTTTTAATATTAAGTTTACTGATGTCTGTTACAAACAAATGAAAACATTAGTAAAAATACTAATTTAAGTTATTTTTGCTGGTTTTGAGTATTTGTCTTCATTTACAAAATATATTCCAGTTTTGGAGTGTAATTAAAATAATTACTTTACCAGAGTTTAACATAAAAACAAAAATATTTTTGCGCTAGTCACCAATCTTCAGACAAAAACAATATAAAAGATTAGAATGTGAAGCACTGTTATCATAGTAATTGAATAAAATCCAGAATAACTACAGTCAAACCAAGTTAAAAAGAATAAAGGTAATAAATGAATTTATCTATTTCTAAGTAAAAATTGAAAGTGTCTGTAGAAGTAATTTTTTAAAATATCCTTTTTTGTAATAAAGTTATAGTACTTATTACTATAATCTAGACATGTTAATCCTTAAATATACAAGTATATTTAAGGATTAGGTCGCAAATATATTATATATACTTGTGGCCCAAAACGCCATGACTTCTTCCAATGTGGCCCAAAGGAACAAAAAGGTTGGACACTCCTGCTTTAGAGTGATAAATGATAATAAACCTGGTAATGCAAAAATTGAAATATTTTGTTCTATAGAATGTTAGCACCGCTGTAACGCAGTTACTATCTATATTTTCTTCGATAAATTAAGAAGTAACTCAGGCCATTCCATTAATTTCCATGACAAAGAAAATTCTTGTTAAGTAAGTTCCAAGGACTTCAATCTCTTACTTTACTAGAAAACTGGTGTTTACAGGTCGAAATTGCATGGCTCAATGGACAAATGTCGTTCATTAGGTTTTTTTTTTTTTTTTTATATTTGCAGGACAGGCTAGAAGTCTGGAATTTTCTGTTGTTTTGGGACGCTTTGGGGACTAGGAAAGGAGCAAACGAGACGTATGTGCCTTGATTACCCGTCCGTGTACGTGATCTTTTGTGCAAAACTGATGAGCATCTTTCGATATATCTGTGTATCCTTGCCGTCACAGGGCATATGATAGGCTTGTTTAAAATAACATCTAAGAAAAATGTTTTAAGAATAAGTCTGGTCGTGAATTTAAACTAGCCTAACTGCATCCGATTGCAGGGAATCTGTTGCGAAACACAAATGTTATCGATGGCCCTAATATATGAGTTATGGTTGTTCACCCTATTCATTAAACTGAAAAGGTGTTTCAGTGCTCTATTGGATCTTCCACGACAATCAGATAAATGAAATTATCGGCTGGAATTCCGTGTCAGCAGCAAGCAACTGCTGATTGTCAGTAATCTTGTGCCCAGAACAATGAATAGTGTGACAAAGAATATACAAAGTTGCCGTGATACTGCACATGACTGTGGAAACTACAACATTATTAACAGATTGTTTAACAACAGCTGTGATAACATCTTTAACGAATTATGAACTGTTAAGTTTGTGCAATTGACCGGGCTATTCCAGATATCCTTTTCTTCGAACCGTGTGATTATTCTGCTGAAGTATTTTGGATTTAATAGTCTTTAACTGTAATGAACTTCAGCGTTGTTTTTCATAGAACAACTTTAAATAAAATGCACGTTCTGGCAACTTAACTGGCCAACATAGTTGATGAAAATGACTTCCACCAGTCAAAGATGCCTTTTGTAACTGGGGTCTAATTACAGAACGATTCCGTAGCCGTAGTTCTGTTTTTTTACCACGAGATGTCGCTACTTCGTGAAGTCAAAAAGCTGGACAAGCATTAATTCTGACTGTGGTGTACAGTAGACCCTCCTATAACGCTTAGATACGTTCCACTTTATAAGAATTTTACGTTGTAGGAATCCTTAAATATATGAGCCAATTACAGCTCGACACGTGTGAATTTTACGGACTAAGGCTGTTTGAAAGGTTTTCTTCTATAAAATTAACCGATTCTAGACTAATTCGACTCAATATTTCCAAAATACGTATAATTTTTTGGGAATAATCCGTATAAACTATGCTATAAACAAAAAATTATAGGATTACTTACCGAGTGTGCACCGTTTGACTATGCCGTTGCTTACGCTTGTTTTCGTCACGGAGCAACGCACCAAACGGTGGCCACGTTTTCTGATAAGTTATTTTTCTGTGAAAACTTCATTGAACTTTGGAGACATCATTAATATAAATAATTTTNAGGCTTAATTTTCTAATTTTTAACGATACAATAGCGACGATTATTATTTTAAAAAATTGTTAGGCTTAGTAGGTTAATAGCGATATACTAATATACTAATTACATGGGATATAATAATATACTACACTAATAATGGATTTTTTCATACTTTTCGGTTATCCGACTTTTCAATTATCCGACCAACCCCAGTCCCCAATTGAGTCGGATAATCGAGGCTCTACTGTATTTTATTTCACAATCAACATTTATCTTTGAAATGTTTCACAAAACCAAACTCAATTTTCTTCATAGGCATCCTTATTTGGTTTTCAAGAGATTCTATAAAACCTAACCCTAGTAAATACCAAGAGTTAAGTGTACCTTGTGTAATTTGAGTAAAGTCTTTCGAATTTGTAGTTTAAATCCATCAACAAATTATCATCGTCAGTAAAATATTAGTGAACTTTTTGTCGCCTGATTTAACAGATCCGCTATGATTTATTTGAACGTTAGCTAAGAAAAATGCTACAGTATTCATAAGAAAGATGTACAAGGTCTGTTCAAAAAGTATCGGACCTTTTTTTTTCGCGTAAACCAATGATGCGCGAGAGGCCTCCTTCGGTGGAGTTGTGGAGGGGACAGTCATGCACAGCCCTGAATTTTTTCCCGCCTGCAGGAAGCGTCAGTCGTTGGCAATCGGCCTATGAGTGAGGTCATGTAGTGAGCTCTCGTCGGATTCCACTAAGCTGGAAAATGACTGAACAACGTGAGCAGCGATATTACATCAAATTTTGCCAAAAACCTTGGCGATACCCGAGCGTAAACCATTCGCAAGATTCAGCAGGCTTTCGGGGACGATCCTCGAGGCCAAAAAAAGCGCGGCAGGTCCGTAGCAATGTCAAAGGTCATGTTGACAGTTTTTCGACTCTCGTGAGGTGGTGTGTCGTGAGTACGCACCAAAAGGCCAAACCATCGCAAAGGAGTACTACCAGGAGGTCCTTTGTCGTCTTTCCGATACAGTGCGACGCAAACGACCGGATCTGTGGTCGATCAAAACTTGGCAGCTCCATCGTGATAACGCATCCGCCCATTCTGCGCATCTGATTCGGGCTTTCGTCGCCAAACACAATACTCCTGTGGTTCGTCACGCTCCATACTCTCTCCACATGGCTCCGTGTAACCTTTGGCTATTTCTCAAGCTGAAAATGCCGCTAAAAGAAACCCAAATTTAGTCGAGAGAAGACATCGTGCGAAATGCGACGGACCGGCTGATAACCATTCCAAAAAATGCGTTCCAGCAGTGTTTCCAGCAATGGCAGGAACGCTGGGAGAAGTGTATACATTACCAAGGAAACTACTTTGAAGGGGATTAGGGTTTTGTACCTCAAAGTCAATAAATTTATTTTTGCCGTTCAAAGGTCCGATACTTTTTGAACAGACCTTGTATTCTTTATGAAAAAGATTCATTGAAAATTATACATTTACAACATTTTCATACGCACAATCTGTTATCGAATGTTTTCCTTTTGTAAGTACAGTACAGTACATTTCCGAATTGAGCGTAGTCACGATCCCGTGTGCCAGAGCCGCGCGATTTAATTCCATGAATTTTAGACAGTACGACGCGGTTCACTTTAGTTGGTTGTCAACTTATCTGTGTCTCTCCATTCGTAGAAATCTGTCAAATACAGTACATAATATTCTTAATTACTACTGAATGAGCTGTTAATATTCACGAAAACAATTATTTTAAGATATATTAATTAAATACAGCATTTTTAAAATTTCAGAACAGAATTTACTTACCCTTCATTGTTTTGAATTCCAGCTTCTCAATTTCACAGGCAAATCCATGTATTGTACAGGTACAGTACTTTCTTCAAATGTTCACGTAATCGAAGGAAAGTAGAAAATCCTTCGGATCATAAGTCTCGCGACAGAATATAGACTTTTCTTCCACCAGGATTTGCTTATTTTCTAAACCTACACGCTTGTTAGTAAGATTTCCTATTGAGGAGAAGTGCTTATCGCAATAACAACAAGTATTTTCTAATACATCCAACGCAATATTTTCCATAACGATTTCTTAGCAACGTAGCGGGAATACTTCGAAACCAATTATCGATGATAAAGTATGGTTTTAAAGCTAAAATATCGACAAAAAATTCCAAGCACACCGTACGGTACGAGGTATACGCTATCTAACCGTCACGATAGCGTGGTAAAAACCAGAACTACGGCTACGGAATCGTTCTGTAATTAGACGCCAGTCATTTGTATCGCAAGCGTATTATCTACAATTTCATAAAACACGTGTTCTTTTGCAATGGAAACTGACTTTTCGTTGTCTGTGGTGCCAAATGTGCAGGAGTAGTACGTTCTGACACTATTGTTTAAGGAAATAATAATAAATGAAATTATTTGTGGCGCTATTTGTTATGAAATTTGTAAAGTGAACATAATTTCTGAATATAAATTGTTTACATTTTTTTTTTCTGGGTATTCATTGTAAGAAAAATTGCACTGACTATCTGGTATGGTAGATAGGATTTCTAGCAACGAAGTGCCATTCATTATTGAAAAGTCTTCTTCGGAAAATCTTTTTAGTTATACAGAATAGCTTATATTATAATCGAAATGGGTTGATAATAATAGTAATAATAGTAATAAGCGCAAAGCCCAAAGGGTTGGGGGTTGAAATTTGGTACACAGTTAGGGTACGCCATAAAAATGTACACTAAGAAAATATTTTTTGAAATTTTCCCCACGGGAAAGAGGGAGAGGATTAAGGCTTTCCCTATAGAACTCGGCTACTATTATACTATTATAGATGCGGTTTTTGCGTTCCAAACTCGAAAATTCGAAATATTGAATTAGAAATACAATGTTTTTTTAAATACAACCATAATAGTAAAATGCCAAGTAATAATAATAACATGTTTTGATTTTATAGACAAACTAGCAGGTAAGTCCCGTGTTGCCCGGACAAAAATTAAAAATAAAATTGCTTGAGAACTATTCCATATTTTCAAAATTATATTTGCAATAAATTATATTTTCTTTTCCTGAATTTGATGTTATGAACGGTATGAGATGTATCATTTATACGATAGAAGCTGATGTTTCAGGATATCAGGAAGAAGTAATATTAGGAAATATATTTTACAAATAAATGTATTATATTAATATTATTTTGTATTTTTACTAGAATAATATATTACATTTCATTTCAAGTTGATAAATATCAGTTTATAATTCTAAACTATTATTGAAATTTAATCTATAGATGTTAACGATGACAGAGAGAACTTGATATGTTGGTCTTCTAGTTGGCAAGCGATAAGTAAACAAGCCATTGACAGAGTCCATTTTATATGAGAACTATGTTACAGTAGAACCTCGAAAACTCGGCCTAATGTGGACCGAAGGGTGGCCGAGTTTGTGAAAATGCCGGGTTATCGGGAATGGGGTTTAAAAAAATAAGTACGAGTGTTTCCTCAGAAAATACTGTGTATTGTACTTGTATATATTGTTTACTTGAGAATATAACAGAGAATAAACTGCTCAAATACCCTTAAACAAAGAAAAAGTGCGTCCTTTATGAAGGCATAGAGCCTTTACTACATGAAAATGAAAATTAATGAATACACTGTGTACAGTAATTTACCTGATAAGACAGACCTCAGAAAAATACTTTATGAGAGCTTTTATACTTTTATAAAGCTGTCTATAATGAAAATTAATTAACTAAGGATTTTTTTGCCCTGCCAG